ACTATACAGTGAGACCCTATCTCATAAACAAACAAACAAACAAAAATCCATTTCTCCACAATTCCCAAAGGAATGGTTTTACTTCATTCTAAAAAGACTGACAGGGCTGGTGAGATGGCTCAGTGGTCTAAAGCACCTACTTAGAACAAGCTTAGCAAATCACAGGGACCACGGTTCAATCCCCCAGCACCACATGCCAGCCAGCCCCGCCCCCTGGTGGGCTGAGCTGGACACATACACACACACACACACACACACACAAATAAATAAATAAAATTTAAAAAAATAAATAAAATAAAATAAAAAGACTGACAGAGCCAACCAGACAGCTCAGCAGACTAAAGCGCCTGCTTAGGCAGAGTGCAGGGACCAGGGTTTGAAACCATGCCAGCCTTGCCCCTGGGGTGCGCTCAGACTGCAACTGAGACTGGATGTGGCAGCGCACCCCTATAACACCAGCACTTGGGAGACTGAAAACAGAGGATTACTCCAAGTCCAACCCTGTGTAGTGAGACTCTGTAGACGCTGCACTAAGTACATAAAATAAAATAAAATAAAAATAGACTAAACATTTTTCCTTTGAATAGTAGCTGGAAGAGGTTTGGATACAGAAAATAAAACAATGACCCTCATAATGAACCCCTATCTAGTTTGAATAGATGTATTACTAGACAAATATGAGAGTAAAGCAACAAAATTTCAACCAGTCTTTCTGACATAATTTCATGATCTAAAATATTGCCAAACACAACAGTTCCATCAACATACCAATAAATCTGTACCCTAAAATAAACATGCACTCTAAAATAAAATGCACTCATAAACATGCACTCATAAACATGCACTCAAAAATAAACATGCACTCAAAACCTGTGTGCTAATCAGCTATAGTAATCTTTAATATGGAAAACGAATGGACTTCAAAGCCAGAAAATGAGTAAGAAAGTATCTTACCTTGTTTAATTTCGAGCAACATGATCTAGCATTAATATAATCACATTCTAAATCAGATAATGTAATTATCTGACGATCAAGATAAGGAATTATATCTTGAGAAGGATTTTTTTTTTGGCTTGCTCGGGCTGCCTTAAGGACAGGTCTGGTGCAGCATAGGAATCATATTTTTTTATAACAATGTATTTAAGTTGCAGAAAGCAATCCCAATTGCAAGGCAGAACTTGATTTTACTTGAAAAAATAAGCTTTTCTATAGCATGCTCATCAGACAACAATTTTCTCATTCACATTCCTTAAAAATAAATTTTCATGGGCTGGGACATTGAGTTCCTTAAATGTGGAACTGCCACAATGAATGTAATCATTATATACTGCATGACCTTGAACTCTGTAGCCTGGGCTGGCCTCAAACTCACAGCAATCCTCTTGGGATTACAGGTGTGAGCCACCACATCCCACTTCCAAATTTTTTAAAATGTGGAATAGCTGTAAGAAATGGAAATAAGACCAAAATAAAATAAACAAACAAACAAAAAAAAAAAACAGAAAGAAGAAAAAAAATATTTTAAATGTTAAAAAGCTGAGGAGGCAGCTCAGTAGTAAAGCAATACAAGGCCCTGGATTCAAATACCAGCATGAAGATAAAAAGCTAAAAATTTAAATTCTCAATACTATAGTGTCTGTGATATATCTATAAACGGTCCTTGAAGACTTAAAAAGCAAATAAACACACGTGATATAAAAGGATGCACACATCATAATCACAAGGACAGTGGTTACATCTCCAAGACTGAACTACAGCCAGGAGTGGTAGCACACCGCTGCAATCCCAGCAGGGGTGAGTGGCTCGTGCCTGTTATCAAGAGGCTGAGGCAGGAGGTTCACCTTGAGTCCCAGGCCAGCCTGAGCTACACAATGAGTTTAAAGTCAGCCTGAACTACGCACCAAGACCCTGTCTCAAAAAACAACAAAAAACCAGCCTGGGCTTATGTCCATAGTGAGTTTCACATCAGCCTAAGGGAGACCCTATCTCAAAAACGTGAGATCCTGTCTCAAAAGAATTGGATTTTTTTTTTTTTTCTTGCAAGTTTTTCTCGGGCCAGGGAGATGGCTCAGTAGAGTAAGAGCTTGCCTGGCAAGCCCTGAGTTCAATCCCCAGTTCCACACACAAAAAGTTTTTCCCTATTTTCCAAACTACACTGTGAGCATATATTATATTGGAAGTAAACAAGTGCATCCATTACAAACACATAAATAAAATGTTTTATTTTAATTTTCATTATTACACATTTATAGTATATCATGTTTATATTCATCATGGGTAGCTAGTATAGGTGCATAACAAATAAAATTAGAAGGATAGATGAACATAAAAGTCATGAATTGAATGAGTGATAGAAACATGGAACTTAACACGACAGTCTACTTTTTTTTTTTAATTATTTATTTGTGTGTGTGTGTGTGTGTGTGTGTGGCCAGCTCAGCCCACCAGGGGGCGGGGCTGGCTGGCATGTGGTGCTGGGGGATTGAACCGCAGTCCCTGTGCTTTGCTAAGCTTGTTCTAAGTAGGTGCTTTAGACCACTGAGCCATCTCACCAGCCCCGACAGTCTACTTTTATTCAGATGAAAATGTCCATTAAAACAAATCAAAGCCAAGCATGGTAGTACATGCCTGCAATCCCAACACTCTGGAAAGCTGAAGCAAGAAGGATCACAAGGTCAAGCCCAGTCTCCGCATTTTAGTAAGATCTTGTTTCAAAATTTTAAAAAGGAGGGGCGGGGGGCAGCGGGCAGGGATGTATGGCAGTGCCCTGGATTTAATCCCCAGTATTGAAATACAAAACAAAATAAAGCAAAACATGTCAAAAGAAACATTCTCAACTAAGCACTAAATATCACCATAACTCCTTTTTCCACAAATTGTTCCTCTTCGACCATTTTATTTCTATGACAAAAGTATGCCTTGCCTAGGTTCAGGGAGATGGCTCAGTAGGATAAGCACCTGACTGGCAAATGCAAGGATCTGAGTTCAATCCCCGGTTCCGCAAAAAAAAAAAAAAAAAAAAAAAAAAAAAACAGAAAGCTAGAATCAGCCACTGCCAAATCCAAAAACCATCTCTTTCTTATGCTACATTATTCCCTCTTTCCATCTGCACTGTTTCAAGTTCTGATGAACCTATCCCCTGGTATTTATCTTCCAATTTTTTGTGTTTCTAATCCACTCTTCAGGCTTACCTTCATCATAAACTATTTTGTTCACTTAATTAATTTTTTAAACAGACAAAAATTTATCATGTGTAATATAATATCTTAAGCAATATATACCTTGTAGCTAGGCATACTAGCACACTAACCTCAGCACTCAGGAGGCTGAGGCAGGAACACAGCTGCATGTTCCAGGCCAGCCTGGGCTACAGAGTGAGACTCTGATTCCAATAAATAAACAAACAAACAGATAAGTAAATAAATACAATAAGAGAAAATGAGAGAATAACAAACTTCGCTAATTAACATGCTTTATTTTACTATCGTTATCTTTTTGTGGTAAGAAAGGTTAATACTCAGCATTTTTTCACAAATATGAAAGAAACGCTGTTAATATAGTCACCATACTGAACAATATGTCTTGAAATCATTTCTCCTGACATTTTTCTGTCCTTCAATCAACCTCCACCTCAATTTTGTCAAAAACTGTCAAGGTCTCCCTACTGCTTGTATGATAAAAGTGAAAGCTCTTTTTTTTTAATGTATTTAGTACGGAGTCTACAGGGCCTCACTACACAGATCAGACTAGCTGTGATCTTCCTGTTTTCAGCCTCCTAAGCGATTATAGGCGCAAGCGTGCCACCACACCAAGTCTCAGTTGAAGTTTCAGTGCACTCTGGGGCAGGCCTGCACGACTTATGGTGCTGGGGATCAAACCCTGGTTCCTGCACTCTGCCTAAGCAGGCGCTTTAATCTACTGAGCTATCTGGCGGGCCCTGAAAGCTCTTACCTTAGCTGTCAAGCATGAATATCTAATCAGATCATCTAACATCTTAACCATGCCAAAATCGCCTAAGTCTACTCACTAACCAACTCCCCAATGCAAAGACTACACTTGCAACTTTGCTCTCACTCTTCCTTCTGAAGGTTCCACTTGGGCTGGTGAGATGGCTCAGTGGTCTAAAGTACCTACTTAGAACAAACTAAGCCAAGCAAAGCACAGGGACCACAGTTCAATCCCCCAGCACCACAGGCCAGCCAGCCCTGCCCTCTGGTGGGCTGAGCTGGCCACACACACACAAAATAAATAAATAAATAAATAAATGAAGGTTCCACTCACTCAAGTTCAAAAACCTTCCTATATTTTATGTTGTCTGTTCTTCCCATTTCCATCTGACTGTAAATGCAGCAACCCTAACAAACAGTGATAACAGAACTTTATCAAAACATACCCTGAGGGGCTCGTACATGCCTAAAGGTTCCCTCTCCAGTACCAGGACACAAAAATAAAATACGCTGTGAATGTACTTGGACTTGGAACACTTCATCTAACATTCTTCTATAAAATTGGTGTAAAACAAGCCTATCTGAAATGAGCAAACTTAACTTTCCAAAATTCAAAAAGTCCGGTTTCATTTTCCTGAGTATAATACAGCTCCAGTTCCTTATATCAGAAGAGGGGCAGAGGTCATCAGAACTTAGGCAAGTGAAGGAGGAAAAAAAAGTCAGGCAAGTAATGCTGCCTTTTCGCTAAGCTTCAGCTCCCAAACCAAGTAAAACTCAGGGCCCTGTCTTACTAGACAAGTGCCACGGGCAAGCACTGCGCGGTGCTTCACACAAGTTCTTGCTGCAGAGATCTAGAAAATGGACATTCCCATTTTACAGCTAAGAAAACCGAGGCCTGGACAGGAGAAGTAATGTGCACAAGTAAGTAACTGAGTAGGGATGCCAAATTCCAAATTTCGTTCCTTTCCACTAGAACAGGTTGCCCGTCCACAAGGAGATATGGAGCCACACTAAAACTAACCCAGCGCAGCACGCTCTGCCAAACAAGTTTACCTGGATCAGAAAGGGGTAGGTGCGACGTCCAAGGACAGGGGACGAATGCAGCAATTCCTATAGCTAATTACTTAAAACAGCGCTGCATTGCAATACTGCGTTGCAGCACCGCACCGCAAAGGCCAGCCGCGCCCTGCAGCGCAGGACTGGGTCGCGGCCTGCGCTCCCTCACCGCCTTTGCAGAGGCTCACTCGAGTCTGAAAGTCCGGTCGGAAGACCGCGCAACGGACACCTGCACAAGATGCTCAGGCCCGAACATCGAGGTCAACAAGTGACTTCCTGTGCTCGCTTCGGCAGCACGTACGCTAAAAACGAAACCACTTCCCCGGACCGCAGGCGGCTGCAGGACGGCAAGGCCGCGAGCACCGGCGTGGCTCCCACCCGCGCCGGCCTCCTCCGCCCCGCGCCGCCACCGCCCGTGCAACTCAGCTCCACGCTCCTTCGGCCCCCGCAGGCCGCCGCCCCCCTCAGATAAGGATACGAAGTACACGGAGAGGAAGATCAGCGCGCAGCAGTCCAGCAGAGAAAAGATGAACACCACCGCCTCCATCCTCCGCCGCCGCCGGGGCCTCGCTGTCAGCCCAACGCGCCGGGCCCGCCCGTCAGCTTCCAAGGCCTGCCTGCTTCACAGGCCCGCGTCGCACGCGGCGTACAGCCGCGCCCGAGGCATGCCGGGAGTTGTAGTTCATGCAAGAACTAATGCTAGACACCGAGACTTGCTGGGAAATGTAGTCCATCGACAAGAGCGCTTCCAGAGGGTAGGCAGGGTCCCTACGTTATTGGTGACTCTAGAAATGGGGACGGACAGTTAGTGATGCGCATTTGCTGAATGCTGTGATAGGCTTGCTACGTAGGAGGAGCTGTTCGCCGTGTTTTGGTTTGGATCGTAGATGTCCCCAAAGTCCTGGGTCTTGCTGCCAGTACGAAGGCGGTAGAACCTTTAAGGGGCGGAACTACTGGGAGGAAGCGAGGTCCTAGGGAATGGACGGGAGGCACCTTGGTCCACGCTTCTGCTTTCCTTTGCGTTGCTGTAGCTGTCCAAAGCGAATTCATGCCTGAAGAAAAACTGTAGCTAGTTCCTACTCAAACCCACTTGCACTTGCAGTTCCTCCAAGGGTTCTAAGGTCCGCTCCGAATAGTAAGATCTTGGAAAATCTACATCCATTACGCTGAGGAATTCTCTCCCACTCCTCAGTGCATGGACGAACGGGACGCTGCTCTGGTGCTCCGGGAGTAGAGGGTACTGAAGCAGCTACCTAGGAGGCGGGATGACCGTGGAGGGGTCAGAGCCCTGCGAGGTGGCGACATCTGGCTGTCCTCATCGGGGCAGCAGCCAGTGCGGTGCCCAGGTCCAATCTGAGGGGCGCCTGGGAAATCCCTGCAGGCCTGCAGCGTGCGCTGCGGTGGGGGAGACAGGAAAATACAAGTAACTGGCCCTTGTGGGGACTGGGGACCCTCGAGGCCGGGTGAGACAGCCGGGCTGAGGAACTGGCCTGGAGGCAGAAATCTGAAGGAAATCTGTGCAGGCGATGTTTCTCAAGGCACAGGGACAGCAGAAACTCGATGTAACCCTCTCAGAAATAGAGATGGGGACAGATGGGTGTCCTTGTATGGTGAAGCAGAGAGTAAGGGCGAGAAAAAAACTGAGAAGTCAGGCGAGGTCACTGGGGCCTTGCAAACCTCTGGCAAAGAGTTTAACTGTTATTCTCGAGTGAGAAATCACTGGAGAGTATCAAGGAGTACAGCACTTTGATCTGACTGATACTTAAAACATTGCCTGGCTGTCTAGTGAACTGAACTATGGAAGGGGAGAAGTTTCTCAGCCTGGATGGAGCGCACTTGTTGATGAATAGGGTAGACTGGGGAATTAGTGTGCAAAACCAGCTGCAAATGCCTGACATGCACAGACTCTTAGATTAGGGGCTATTACACTGGGCAGTACCAGCCACAAATTATTACATCTGCTATCACTGCGTAGTGTACCTTGCCCACACAACTATCTGAACACTAATCTCAATAGTGCTTTATCTCTATATTGTACTTTGTATCCTGTCAATAGCTGCTGGGTGCTGAATGAAAGTAGTTACTGAAGGAATCAATCAGGACAGATTTTATTAAAATCAGTTTTCAGTTTTATTAAAAACAAGCTTCATCTCACATTCTCTCTAAAATGGAATATAAAACAGTGACTACCCTATGTTCTTTGCTGTTTTATGCTGAGAAAATTTAAAAGCGAGGGCTGGGGAGATGGCTCAGTGGAATAAGCACTTCCCTGGCAAGCACAAGGGCCTGAGTTCAATCCCCAGTTCC